CAGTTTTCAAAAGACCAGATTTCCATCTGTAACTAATACCTCTCTGTGACTTTGAAACTCAGACCTCTTCAGCTGTTTCAGTTGATACTACCTGGTCTTATAAAACTATTTTGAATCCATTGTAAAGTTTTATTTATTTATTTATGTGTAAGACCCATAAATTATATCACCAAGACAACTGTCAATTATTCTAAACTGAAAATTTTGCTCAAAAAAAATCTGAGTTGTGAATATTTTGCCATCAATTTGAATTAATTTCAAAATTGCTAATTTTATTCCAGATTATAGGCTGTCTTTAAATTTTTCTTTAATTTTTTCTTTAAAAATTTATTTTTATTTTTAAAAAGATTGAAATCATTTGTTTAACTTTATACCCCCTTTTCCAAACATTGTCAGGTTTTCTTCTAGACCAAGAGTGATTTAATTTGTCTCCTTTCATTTTTGTGCCTAAGAACATTCTTCATAAAAGGAAAACACACAGTCAATACCATGACTTGGTAGGGACGAGAGTTAAAAGTTTATTCTGCAAGCATATGTCACTATATACTGACTTCCATGACTAGTGTTCATAACAGAAACGTTTTTCTATCCACTAAAACTGGTATCAGCTAAATGATATCATCGTGACAGAGCCTGTAAGGCCTCCTTTTCCTAAAGCTGAGGCATGACTTGGTACTTTTACAACAGACATAAAAATACTGTGTGATGAAGAATTAGTAACTGGCTGATTGAATGGTGTAAAATCAGGGCAAGGTGGATCAGTAGCATCCAGCTTCTTGCCCCAGAATACAAAGGACAATAAAAGGTTCATTCATCAGTAATGTATGGATGACTTTACCTAACATGGCTTCATATACCACAGAACAGGCAACCTCCCAGGAGCCAAAAATTAACTGTGTCAGGCTTCAAAACATATTGACTTTTCAGCCAAAAATATTTGGTTCCTTCTCCAATGCAGGTTTTATTTATGCCACTACATAAGACAGTGTTCTAAAGTATCAAGTTCATTCTGAAATCAGAATTGTACCCTGAGATTTTCTTGCTGAAGGACTCACAATAATACTATAAAGGCAAGTGAAAATTTCTTCTTGCTTATCTTTTTCTTCTCCTTACTTTGTAGATCCAAAGGAAAAAAAAAAATAGAGTGAGAAAAAGGTTAGAAACAAAACCCCTTCAATGTGGTTTAAAAAGCCTACTTCTGTTAGTCATAGCCTTCTCACACCAGCTGTAAAAATGCCCCACCCAGTAGAGGTGCTAACTGAAAGGGGCATGTTGCAAGAGACAAAAGTTCCCCAAGCTGCTTGTGGTCATGTTTATTTTAATTATCTTCCTGCCCAAAGTTGCCTGAGAGGCTGTGTGTAGCTATTCTCTCTTTAAGAATTATCATTTCAGCAATTAATAGAAGATGAATTCAAGAAAGTATTTAGACATTTATGTTAAAAAAATCAGGAAGTAGATACACATCCCTAGATCAAAAAAAATTATCTATACAGTCCTCATCTATCTATCTAGGTGCCAAAGATGCTACAGGCACCAAAACTTTGACCTGTAAAATTAGTCAGAGACTTAAGTCCCAAGAAGACCAAAGGTGCTGCCACATGGCCTGAAGTTAACATCTCCCCTTCACTTGAAATTCACAAACCATACACCCTAAACTCTCAGCCACCCTGACACTCCCATCTGTGTGTACCATGTTAGAACCAATATGACTTCAGAGTGAAAACAAAGGACACATAGTAATCTCTGTTGATGGTTAGTGTCAACACTTGACATTTTGTTTATAGATGATTAAAGGAATCACACTGTAACGTGAACATCTGAGTAGAAATGTATCAACCAAAGAGCTCAAGCTACTCTCCCTCAGGAGACTACTAATCATCAGCTGCTGACAGGGATCAATCCCGTTGAAGTGCCAACACTATAAAAAAAGAACACATTTAACAGATCAAAGAGTGCATAAAAACACAATTTAAATGTAGGATAATTCTGGGGAATGATAGAAGAAGGAATTCCACATTTCAGACCTGTTCCCAATCGTATCTCTGGATTTTGTTCAATGAGTTTGTAATGAAAAACATGAAAATCCTTGAAATAAGAACCAGCCTGAGCACTGCCATGCTTTAGGTTCCCTGCTGGTCTGGTATGAGTACACTGCTAGGGTGTAATGTATACCACTGCATCTCGGAAATGCTCCCTCAAACCTTTCTGCCTCCCCAAGATTCTATAATTTTGTTTCCATAATTATAGTATCTGATCTATTCAGAGTAACATAACTTTTTAGCTGACAGTGACTTTCAACATTAATATTACGCCACTATTCTTTACAAAATACCAGATTTTATATTTTTCACAGAACAGTTTGGAGTGCACAAGCAAACAGCTAGCATGAATAATTATCTTCCCTTCTTCCTTCACAACCGCCTTCTTTGTTTCAAAATGTTTCTCCAATTTAGATTTTGCAAAATTTCAGTCATTAAAAAGCTATAGGTTTCCTTATTCTGAAACAATAACAGATCAATCCTTGAATAAACTACACCATCTGTCTTCCCCAGCATACTGTACTTTTAAGTGACTAAAATAAATCCCAACCTACACAAACAACAGCCATATTTATTCACTGCCTTAAGAACATGTGAATTTGGATAAACCCTTTGATTTTGGTACTTGACTACTGCTTTGGAAATTTCACAACTTAACTCCTTTAAGTTCTGCCTGTTACTTAAGTTCTCCCCAACAGCCACTTCTTTTATTAAACAAACAACTGCTTAATATGAAAAACTCTAAACAGGAACTATAAGAACTAAAAGCAAGAACAAAGGCAATTAAGCCCTTGGCTGTAGAGACAAGAAAAAAATAATGTTCACAGTTGAACTATCTTTCTGATTACAGCAGACATTTTACAATTTCTGAAACCTTTAGGTTCCCCTGTTAGCAGTAAAAGCTTCCTTGATGCTCCTAAGTCTTCAAATATCTTGGGGAAAAGCACTCACATTCAGTAAGAGTTACCCAAGGTTTAAGTAACAATATGTTCTAGATCATGAATCATCACAATAATTAATGTTTGGAATAGCATAAAATAATAACAAGACAACATAAACTTTAAATAAGAAGCTCTCTGTGCTGCTGGAACTCTTTAGAAATACCAGGAGGTTGAGAATTACCAAATGAAAACTGGCAAGGAGCTTACCAAAGGGACATTCCTAAAGAGCCTCCTCTCCTCGGGCCTGAAACTGGTTTCAGTGTGGGAAATGCAGAGACACACAGAAACCAACTGCATAGTGGAACACAGGGTCCCAACAGTAAGGCATGTCCCCAAAGGTACTTTAACATCCTACGCTTAATAAAAATGCTGAACAGATGTGGTCTGGGTTGAAACTAAAAGCATGAGTATGATCTTTTTTCTTTTCTATTCCCTGACTTTTCTTCCCTGAATCCCAGACCTGACTCTCAGCTACTGGAAGGAAAAGAAATAGCAGCACTATAGAATCACAGAATCATAGAACCATAGATTCATAGAATCATAGAATCAACTGGGTTGGAAGAGACCTCCGAGATCATCAAGTCCAACCCTTGATCCAACCCCACTGCGATTACTAGACCATGGCACTCAGTGCCACATCCAGCCTCATATGAAAAACCTACAGGGACGGTGAGTCCACTACCTCTCTGGGCAGGCCATTCCAATGCCTGATCACTCTCTCTGTAAAGAACTTCTTTCTAATATCCCACCTAAACCTCCCCTGGCAGAGCTTAAGCCCGAACCCTCTTGTCCTAAGACAGAACACAGGTGTTTCAGAATGGCCTGAGAGTCCCCACCTTCTTCCCATCCCTTCAGTCACCATGAGGCCTCCCACCCTTTCAGACCCCTGCATCTGAACTCCTGTTCCTCCTCCAGCGTTTACAACTCTGAAACCTCAGGACTGGGAAGAGGAAGTTAAATATAACTAAACCACTGCTGACACCTGTTGTCAGCCCTGAGAAATCTGCATTAATCCAGCCTGGTATACTTAACACAGTAATGTAAGGGGTGGAAACGCCAAAAAACTCTCAACCCAAACCATTGTAGAATCTCTCACTCCCCTTGGTTCTCACACTTGCAATGTTGCAGAACCGGAATGCAGGAATGGGCAGCAAGTGGGGCCTTGGAGAGGAGTTAGAAATCACCTCACTACATAAATTAAGCTTTGATAGCACCAATTTGAAGTGGAATTTCAACCGAATCAGCAGAGTAAGGTGAAAGACTGCCTCATCCTGAAAACAGTGCGGGATTACCGAGCCATCTGGTAAAGAAAAAGTATTCCAGTAACACGCCTAGCTACTAAATGAGGTTTCTAGGCAATTTCCACTAGGCAGTGTGGAAATGAATAGGAACATCCTACAGGAAAAAAGGTAGGGAATGGCAAATCACAGTACCAGTGAAAGCAAGATACAGACTTCAAGTGAAAACGCAAGCCTTCGCCTCAAACGTTATTTACATTTTATTACACAAACGAAATAAAATCCTGCAGGAACTGACAAGAACATATACGGTGAGAGCCGCAGGCAGCTCCCCCAGGGTCGCTCCGAGGGCACACGGCTGTGCCCCCGCACCGGGCCCGCCGCACCAGAGACCTCCCACGGCTACGCAGGGTGGACAGGGAAAATAAACCACCGGCGACTAAACGGGGCGCAACTGAGCGACCAGATCCTGTCTCTATGAGCTTTTCTCTTCTGTACGCCAGACGTACGCAGAAGTGCCGTACGAGCAGCGCTATGTCAGTCAGTCAGCGCTGGCACTCTACAGCCAAAGCTCGCGACCTCTGCAGACTCCCCAGGACGAGCGGTGCCAGAGAAGGCCCAGCCCGCCCCTGAGAGGCGGACACAGGGGTGGGCCCCGAGTCCCCGCCCCGCCGCCATGTCGGGACCGGGCCCGCCCAACGCCTGGCGGAAGCGGGAGGCGGCCAGCGCATGCGTAGGGGCCGGCACCACCGGAGGGCGTAGCTTCGCGCCGGCCGGGCGGCCTCCGGGAGAGGCCACGCCCCCCTCGCCGGCGGTCGCGCGCCCGTTCCCTGCCGGCGCTTCCTGCCGCGTCCGCGCACCCGCCCCCCCCCGCCCCGATCCGCGGCCGCAGCGCCGGCCGGGCCGAGCCGAGCGGGAACATGAACACGGTGCTGTCCCGGGCCAACTCGCTCTTCGCCTTCTCCCTGAGCGTGATGGCGGCGCTCACCTTCGGCTGCTTCATCACCACCGCTTTCAAGGAGCGCAGCGTGCCCGTCAGCATCGCCGTCTCCCGGGTCACGCTGTGAGCGCGGGCGGGAGAGGAGCGGGAGCGATGGAGGAGGAGGGCGGTGGCAGCGGCTGCTGCCGGCCGGGGAGGGGAGGGGCTCGAGAGCCGGCGGGGCACGGCCGGGAAGGGTGAGGGGACCCAGATGCCGGGCGGGGGCAGCTCTCCCTGGCCCCCGGCGTGGCCGCCCCGGGCCCGGCCTCTTGCGCGCTCCCGCCCGGCCAATGGGGGAGCCCCACGACGGCGGGGCCGGGCGGGCGCCGGGGCGGGTCGCTCGGCAGCCCTGAGGGAGCGGGGCTCGGAGAGCGGGGCTCGGGGACCGGCCCCGCGCCGTCCTGACCGCTGCTGGGCTCGCGGGCCCGCAGCCAGCCCGTGCTCAGGGCCGGAGTGGCGGCTCACGGCCGGGTCGAGAACCGCTGCCGGTGCTGCCTGCAGGTCTGGGAAGGCAGGGACCCAGATGAGCGTACGGCTTAGCCTGTGTTCATCCGGTCGTAGCGCCTTTTCCTTCTAATTTGTAGCCCCCTCAGATTTCTCTGCTGGTATAGCCTATCGTCCTTTCTTGCCTGTGACAAGCAGACTGACTGGGATGGCTTCTCTTCTGCGAGGTGCACCAGGTGTAGGACACATAATACCACATCAAAAGTGTGTTGCCCGCAGACAAAATGTTCTCATGCAAACTTGTGCTGGGGAACCTCTTTTTTCTCCAATTGGTGGTGTTTTGTTGTGTGTTTTTTTTTTCTCGGAAGGGAAGCTTTGTCATAGGAAACTTCCGCCAAGTTAAGGCAATGGTTTCACAGCAGCTGCTCCTACCACCAAAGAGTATTTCTGCTTCTGGCTACGTGGCCCTTTACCAGAGCTCCAGGGGTAAATCAGGCCGATAGGACACTTCAGTGAGCTGCTTTAACTCAGCTAATGTTTTTTTTGTGTGGTTAGTTTTGGCCCAGATTAGTGAGATAAAGCAGCCCATCCCTGAAGGTGTTTAAGGCCAGGTTGGGTGAAGCTCTGGGAAACGTGGTCCAGTGAAAAAGCGTTCCTTTCCACGGTAGGGAGGTTGAAACTAGGTTATTTTTTTAACCCAGGCCATTCAATGATTCTTTGGAGCCACCCGAAGGTAAGTGGCACCAGGGATGGCTAGCAGCAGGATTTGAGAGGGGAGAGGAATGCAGATAGAGGGTGGGGACTGGCATCACCTTTCAGACTGGTTTAATACCACAGGAAAAGAAACCTCGTATGTACGCTAGACAGGATTGCAGACAGCATAAAAGTGGCATAAAAAGCATATTTTTGAGTGTTACGGTGAGCTCAGTGTATATGAGTTGGCATGCTAATGCCTAATTTGGATGAAATTTTTATTGCTAGTGCCGTATGTGATACACAGATCTGGTGTTACTGAGAGATGTTACACCTCAATTTCTTGTCTTGAATTTCTGCATTCTGCAGACCCCAGCCTTAGGGCCTGCTACTGCATGAGATTGACAGTGATTAAGAAGTGAAGTCAAGTGCTTGATAAGGTTTACTACTTCAGAAGATACTGCTTTTTGCAGAGGGATGGGAAATCATAGCAAGATTTAAATTGGGAAGTTTTGGTGGTGTTTTTCTTAACTAATATGTCCCCAAAAGTGTTTTATCCATTGTTAAACAGGGGTTTTTTGTTTGTTTTTTTTAAGATTACCAAACTCCGTTTTTTAAGAAAATAATATTTTAATAAACTAATTTCCAAACTGGAATAAATGTAACTATGAGGTTCATAATTCATAAAAAATTTGTTACATTAGGAGTTAAGATTCGTAGCTGATTGCCAAGCTGATTTCTTACGGTATTCCTCTTTGTAGACGGTAAATTTGGCAAATTGATAAGCTTTGTGAGTACATATGGAAATATCTGCTGTGTTTCTGGTTCTTTTTTTAGGTTTTTTTTGCAGTTTCTTTTTCTATTGTGGCTTAGTATGGCAATGTCAGGTATTGTTCCAAATGGGGATTTTTAATGAAGCCTTCCAAAATGATAATATTTTCCATAATGTAGAGGGAAATGAGCATTTTCTTTATGTTGCTGCTTATACAGTATAGGGCTAAATCTCAAAACTCGTGTGAACTACACACATGAACTCTTTTTTTCGGAATGGTTGGAGTGTCTTGTACAAGACTGAGCACTAGAGGCTTTTTTTTTTTTTTTTTGGAACGTTGAAAAATAATACTGAAAATGGTTGCCAGCAGACAGCTATACTGACTGTGTTCTAATCAGATTTATATATTTGGGGATGGCTAACACATATTTTACGGAAAAGAAATGTAGTCCAGTTTAGATACAGAGAGGTACAGATTTTTTGTTGACAAGAAAAGGTCTATAGGCTACATATATGTCTTAGACCACTATGCTGGCAAGGCCCATCATTCAAAACTGGGACACCTTAATTTCTAGAAGGTAGGTGATAGTTTGTAGAGTTGATTATGTTTTAGCCAAATGTATTTAAAAAAAATAGAAAATGGATGAGGGAAATATCAAATAAGAATCATAATTTATGTAATCTGTAAAAGACAAATAATGAGAAAGATTAATCTTGTGTTTTGTTTTGTCTTTCTTAGAAAAAATGTAGAAGATTTCACTGGGCCTAGAGAAAGAAGTGATCTGGGATTCGTCACATTTGACATTACTGCAGATATCCTTAATGGAAAAGATGGTTTTCCAACTTTTTAAAATAAGAACGCTTTGATGTATATTTTTGTTGCCTTATAATCTTCAAATATTCAAGACTTGGGGAAACTAGCAATTTGTCTTAAAATGAAAATTTAAAGCAGGAAAAAGTAGTATTCTGCGTAGCTATGGCAGTGAAATAGAGCTTAGAATAGCTGCTTGGTCTCTAGTACATGACAAGTTGTTTTCTCTTTTTAATGCCTACTTTTAAAATAGTGAACTGCACTGTATCTAATAATGGCAAGTGCAGTTTAACATCTGGACAGGATTACTGTTGAATGAAGTTTATATTGCTGTTTTGAGGAGTGAATTAAGGATAAAGTTTATATAGCATACTATTGTGATTGTCTTACCAAATCTAGAAACTCATGCAGCTTTCAAACTCGTTTTGTCATGAGGCTTTCAAAGTTCCGGCTATAGTTGCATAGAAGTGCCTGTCTTCTTTTAAAAATAAAAACAACATTGTAATGCTTTACTTGCTTAGATGTGGTACTCTCTAATCTTTAGCATTGAATAGTATGAAATTCATTGGGCAGCATATGATGTACTCAAAATTTGTCACATTATTTTTTGTCCTCTTTCTCAATCGCTATTACAGTTTTGCAGTTTTCTATTGTATTTCTTCGCTTCCCTTTTAGTCTGGGTTTTACTGGGGAAAGAGGATTGTGTTGTGGGTATTTCTGGTTTTGTTTTTTTTTTTCATTTGTTTGTGTTGAATAAGTTTTTAAACACCAAATCCTTAGGATTTAGGCTCTTGAGAAAATACTGAGTTTTTCTGCAGAAGTCAGTACCACAAATATGAGGCAGCATGCTTTACCTCAGGTGATTACACTAAGCCTTGCTTTGCAGCTGGGCTGAGATTCCTGGGATTTTTCCCTGTCTGCTGTTTTTTGTCACTGTTAGGCAAGACACTGAATACCTCTGAGTTTAGTTTTCCCTGTTTTGAAGAACACTACATTCTGTAAGCAAACCACACAAAATACAACATGAATGCTGGATAAACAGACTAAATCAAATTCTTTTCAGGTCTGTCTTGCACAGGAATAAGAGGATTTTTTTTTTATCAGATGGAAGTAGGAGAGGTAAGCTCCTAAGTCTGAGTTTTACCTCTGAAATTAAAATCAGAGACTGATATTCTAAAATAGATGCATGGATTTTTATGCAGTGTATACAGGGGGAAGCAGAGCAAGGCAGGACAGGACCCCTAAAAGAAATGTTTTCATTCAAGGATTAGTTTGCAATATAAAGATTCCATGGTTTAATGACTTCTACAATTTTTTTTTATAGAGAATCTGACTTTATCTTTCATGCCTGGCATAAATAAACCTTGCAGTGTTTAGAGCTGTAAAATGCAACTATCTGGTAGGAGTTTTTTGATCAAAATTTTTAAAGAAATACCTGGGCTCTCTTAACTACTGGAAACAAGTTGTTAGTCCTGGGAAAGATTATGGCAGTTAGAAGTACAAACTTGACAAAGGAAAGGGGAGGATGCAGTTTTCACAAACTCCTTAAGTTTACTTAAGTTGTTGCTAACTTTTGCAAGTGATAAGAAATCCTCCCATGAAGGAGATCTTCAGAATCTTATTTATTATTTTCAGCTAGATGACAAAAAACGTTTAAGTAAAATAGCTCTACCTATTCTTGCAGTTAAATAATTTCCTTTTTTGCCTTTTGAATTAGGAACTTAAAAACATGATTTAGTCTTGAGATGAGTGAGTAGAAGATGATACAACAGATTTTGAGGCCAGTTAGGGAATCAATTCTTGAGAAAATGGTAAATAGAATACTAAAGAGGACTGAGATTAGCTGTTTTACAGCTAATCTTTATTGAGAGTTAAAAGTATTTTCCTTAGTAGTCACACACAGTGCATTTTATTGTTAAATAAGCAGACAGTTATTTAGAATCCCAGCATTATGACACTGACAGTCTCAAATGGCAGTCATCAGTTCTTTACTGTTGATCAAAAATCTGAGCAGAATTTTTTGTTCCAGTCTAATGAGCTTTCTTTGTTGTCAGTAGGTAATCAAATTTTCTAATTTCAAGTGTCCTGTTAGATACTTCCCAGCTTCTGACTTCTCCATTGTGGGCATTAGAAGCTCTTGGAATACCCTACACTCTGCCGATTTTGTATTTTTTATTGTTATATTGTTTAATGTTACTGTATTTCGATCCACAGTTGGATACTAGGGTTCTCTGATAGTATAAATAATTGCCTTGAGGATATTTAATGAAGAATTCTGTTGTGCCTTTTATGTTTAAGGTTTTATAATAGGTTGTCTAGCTGAGGATTCTGGTTACTAGCTACAGTGTCAAATATAGAACACTTAAATCATTGGAGGAGAAATAGTTGTTAGTTTTCATAAATAGTAAAAAAACCCATAACTAAAAACCTGTCGCTCTAATAAGATCAAAATATATGAAAGTGCTCTGATTTACTAATAAGGTGAGGTATATTGAAAGGTAAGAACTTGCTGTAACTATCATAGTCTGTTTAGATCTAGTAAAAGTAAAACAAGGTTATTCAAGTACAATATGGTATTTTTCTTAACTCACATACATCTGCAGAGTATATTTGACTGGAATGTCAAACAATTGTTTCTATATTTGTCTGCAGAATATTCAACAAAAAACAATGTAAGTATCAAAAAGAAGGTTGAGTCAATTACCCATTTTAGTACTATAGCTATTTTTAAACTTTCTGTAGTTCTGCTGGGAGGAATTAAGGCACCAGCATTTCCTACTAGCTTGGGCTGTTTTTGCTGGCCTTCGTGATTGTTATTTTCTTGACAGTTTAACTGCAGGGTGGGAAGTTCACCTTCATGAAACTTGACTTGATATATGCCTAGTAGAATGAGAGAAAAGTAGCACGTGCTTTGTGTTGCAATACACTTGCAATAGTGTACTGTAAATGAGTTTTTTCACTTATTTTCTCTGTCCATTTTACTTTTTCCCAGCACTCTGCAGATGACTTCAGTTAGAAACAAAATATAGGCTTTGGTCTGGCCTGGTGTGGTGGGTCTTTATTTCATAGATCACAGAAGTGTTTACCATTGCCAGTTACTGTAGGCCCGTAATTCATGTTATACCTCATCATACTACTTAAAATAATTGCTAAAGACCCTCTTCACTGATCTGATAGTAGCTGTATAGAACAGCCTATGGAAAAATTGTTTTAATAAAACACCATGCTGCCGTGGTGCCACTGAATTCGAGTTAAAGCTACTGTAGTCATGTTGCAAGGATACAGTGAAAGCTTGGGGGTGTTCTTAACTTGCTGCACAAAACTGTCTCACTCCTTTTTTTTTTCTTTTTTTTTGGAGGGGGGGTTACGCTTGCAATTCAAATTGATATTTCTTCCTTTAAAGTTGAAAAAATATTATATGCCTAGGCATAGTCTTGATAGCTCAATTTAAGTCCCTTATTTATAAATACTGCTTTTAAAGTGATTTACCTTTGCAATTCAGAAGGAAAACCCATCATGCTTTGTAAGTCTTCTGAAGCTTATGACTTTTTAAAATTCCTTTCTTGTGTTTTATTAAGGTGTTCCTTGTTGTTTTCATTTATTCTGTTCCACACTTCACTGCGTAGCAGTACTAGATTCCCTCTCTGTAAGGCATTATTTTATTAAATTAGTTATGGATTGCAAGCATGTACTTCAGGATTTTCAGATAAATAATGCTGTGAAATTCCAGTGTCTGAATGTTATCCTGTAAGGTACCTTTCTGACTTAATTATAATTGTATTTTTAGGCTCTAAATCAAGTGGTCCTTTGGGACAAGATCATGTTAAGAGGAGATAACCCAAGGCTGTCCCTAAAAGACATGAAGTCAAAGTACTTTTTCTTTGATGATGGAAATGGTCTCAAGTGAGTAAATCCTTCTTTTTTATTGCTCTTGTTCATGGTATTTTGATTTACTTGCATACCTTGTATTTTATGTGCATGTTTATTGGTGTGGTAAGGTACTTATAGCCTGGTGCATCTTCTGGGTTTCTGCTTTCACTATTATTGTCTATGTAGAATTGTTTCTGTGATGCACTCAGCTCCAAAGGAGTTAAGTTAAAAAAAAAAAAATTGGTATTGCTTCATGAAGTAATTACATAAAATTAAAAGATTATTGTTAATGGACCAGAAAAACAGTCTGTATCCTAGTGGATTTAATATTAGTAATTGATAATTAAATTGGTTGAGTATTTGTGCTGATAGTCTTTGTTACTTTTGCAGGGGAAACAGGAACATCACTTTGACTCTTTCCTGGAATGTTGTACCAAATGCTGGCATTCTACCTCTTGTAACAGGATCGGGACATGTGTCTGTACCTTTCCCAGATACCTATGAAACAACAAAAAGTTATTAAATTATAGTACTGAATCATAAGCAAGATATTTTTATACTTGTATATTGTGAATACATTTTACTGCGGTTTCTTCTCACATCCCATGCAACTTTTTGGTGAAAGAAACTTAATTTCCTCAGGTCTAACACCATAGAAAAAGGAAATTAAAGTTCAGTTTGGTTTTTTTTTTAAATAAAACATTGAAGCTGAAACTTAAGGGAAAGGTAAATTGCAGAGTAATGGTTTTGGATGAGGGGGGGAATTGAGGATTATTTTTTATTTTTTTTCCTGGCCATCTGGGTAGAGATCTCTTTTTCTTTTAAATAAATATTTTTAAACCAGAAGATAGTCTTCCTGTGTTTGGGCTTTTTTTAAGTACTGTGATAGTTATTTATTATTTGTAGAACTCAAATACACGCTTTGGAGCCAGTTTCTCAGAGTGCCTGAAGGAAACAGCTATACTGTTTTATGGCATTTTGCTGAAAGCATGCTTAGCATGATACAGTAGGGTAAGCTTGGTCCTTTCTAGGACTACCAACAGCTACATGGAAAACTGATTTCATCATCTGTCAGTCAGCCTGTAGATCTTGTTTTCAGTGTCACTGATGTAGCCCATCCAGTATCTGTATTATAGATAATTTTAATAACTTCTTATAATGCAGCAAACCAGAAGAATAAAAAGAAATCTATTCAGCAAGAGTCTTAAGACTTTCAGCATAAGACATAAGCATAAGTCAGTAAGAAAAGTAAAAGCTTTAGGTAAAGAAAGGCTGTCTACAAACAAATCTCTTGATTTTTGTTGGGATCTGCTCAGCAGAAAGAATGAGCGTGCTTGTTTCAGAAGGGGTTGAGACGACTAATATTAGAGGGGACCTTCCATAGCAAGGAATGGGACAGATGTTGTCCAAAACAGTCTGGGAAAACATTTACAAAATAGAGGATTTCCCCATGGTAAGATAGAGTAATTGTGACAGATTTACCATCTTGAGTATCGACATGAGTCTACCTGCAAGTCTTCCTGATTTGCATCAGCCAGGAAAGGTAGGAAGCAGCGTGTAGCAGTTTCAGCCAGCACCTCTGTGGCTGCTCATCGTTCTCCATGTTCTCCTTCACTCAGCTACAGCTGTGAATGCTCACAGTTGGGAGGACAGAAGGAACAGTGTATCAGGGTTGCCTCTTGGCAATAATGATGATTTATACTGATCAGCTAGTGGGTTTAGATCATCATATATCCAGAAGGAGCACGCATTGCAGTCACCTTCCTGGCATAGTTCTTAATGCACACATATATCTTCAAACAAAGTATGGCAGAAGTTAACTGACAGGCATGGAATGTTCTGAATGTGCTGGGAACTTTGAAAAAGAGGAAACTGGGTCTGAAATTACAACTGAGGTTTTAATACTGTAAATCAGAAAAAAATGATGAGAATTGCAGCATGACAAACCTTGCAAAAGAAAAGATGCAAAACACTGGAGCAGAATCTCCCCTTTTGTTTTGATTTCACCCAAGAGCAGATGATTTTGAGGGAACTAACTTACTTTTCAAAAGGCATCTTTAATATTTGTGAATTATCCTTAAGTGACTATCTGGTATATTCATCAAGTTGGTGTATCAAAGAGGTGTTGAAAAAATTTCCCAGAAGTGCTTTGTCTTCACAAATAAAATTTTGTCTTAAGTGCGAAAACTAAAACATTATTTTCACAGGAATATTTTAGGACAATTTTTCATTTGTATGCAGCGTATTTACATGAATTTCAGTTCTCTGAACTTGTGCTGTTTTCCACAGGTTAGCATAATCAGCACATTGAAATACATGCTATTTTTTTGGGGCTTTGATATCAAATGTATATATTGCTCTAAAGACTGTTACAGAGAAATTAAAACTGTCATACAAAAGGAAAACAAAATACTTTCAGGAATAATTGGGCAAAGTTGTGGAGTTGTTTTGTTTAGTGCCAAATGTGTGGTTGGTTTGTTCATAAATTATATTCCTGAAATGTTTATTGAAACATTTCTTGTGGCTTGGCATTCAATCTGTTCGCTGCATTCCTTCGGCAGTACTCTACCAGTAAATATAATGGCTGTCTTTTAAAGAGAAGGCTTAACCGCAAAGACAAGGATCTGCTGTCAAAAAAACATCAGGGAGAAATTTATCTTCTTTAATCCAAAGTGGTATATTCCTCCCAGCAGACAGTACCAGAATTTTAAGACACTAAAACTAGCTTTCAAATGTGATGCTTGAAGCTTTACTAGCATTTCCCAGTGAAATTATGTTAGAAATAAGCATTTTAGAGGGATGAAGAAGAAACCATCATGGAGTTTAAGTTCTCAGAGAGAAGAACTTGGGTTTATCCTGAGGGAAAGGCCAGCATAGGTGAGCACTTAATTATGCTATAATAATCTTGCTCTTCTGAGCCACCAAGCAGGACGGGCTTATCATCTCTTCTTGGTTCAGGGTGCAAGGAGGAAAATTCCTCAGATGTTGCCTATAAAAAAGTAAAAAGCCTTTCAAAAAGTAAAAGCTGCTGTATTTCATTGTGACAATTAGCAAACCATTTATAGAAAGAACAGGCTTTTATGGAAACAAATGGCATTTACTTCCTCTTGTCTGTTCTTATACATCTTATAAAAAGAAGTAATATTATTGCTGGCAGCTGATTGTTCTCTCTGATGTGTTGATAACTCGGTGGTTTATGTAGCGATGTGTACAACCAAGTTACCTGGCAAGGAATTTACTTAGTGGGAAAAGGCTTGAGATCCTTTTGTGGAAGTCTGAACTGAAAACACTTATAATGCATTTCAGATAGCAATTTTTTATTGAGGTTCTGGACACAGTTCTTGTGTAAGGACTGAGAAATGGAAATTGTTGAGGTAGCCTGGGTTTCCATTTGCCATCAAAATCATGCAGCACAATACTGAAAGCCCTATGCAGGAAAGGAAAATGGCACTTAAAAGCCTATATTTAGAGCTCTGCTCCCCTGCACATACAACCTTATTAATGGATTGTCACAGTAGATATTGAAAATAGAAAGACATTGAGAAAACAGAACATCTAACAGTTGTTTATTCTTTTAGTAAGTTTCTTCTGAACAATGAAATTAAAGCTAGCTAATACATTGCTTACCAGCCAGATTCAAATAGACTTCCAAATGTTGAAAATGTTGCTCTTCTGAAAACTCTTTCAAGATGATAGATTTTGCAGAAACAGTTCTGTAAAATGAAAGCTATTTAGATAGAAAATTCAGGTACTGGAGAGCACTCTTACTCCAAATTTGTGTCAGAAAATACATACAAAAGCTCTTCTGGTTTATTTGGCTTCTTTTATTTTGGGAGGGAGGTGTTTTCTTTCATTAAAACAGTTGAAAACTGTCTTTAAACTGTTTTAAACTGTTTATTCAAACAAACAAGTCAATAGCCTTTACCCTGAAGAGTCCCATTCTACGCACATTGGTAAAGGCTTTTATTGTAGTAGTCATATCAGGCATATTTTTATCAAACAAAAACTTAGCTTGAAGAAGCCAAATGGCTGCTGTATCAAATTCTGGTGCTCTCCACCGCTCCCTTGGGACCATTTTTTTGAGTTGGCACGTTATTGAAGATAAGGTGCTGAAGATAAAATTATTGAAGACGAGGTGTGGGTAAAGATGAAGTAAGTATTCTGTTAAAGTTTTCATTTTCCTTAGTAGTGTGTCACAGTAATAATCGTAGAATAGTTTGAGTTGGAAAGGGCCTCTACAGGTCATCTAGTCCAACCACCCCTGCAATACACAGAGACATCTTTGACCAGGTCAGGCTACTCAGAGCCTCATCCAACCCAACCGTGAATGTTCCCAGAGATGGAGCATCTAGCACCTGTCTGGGCCGGTGTTCTGGTTCTAGTGTTTCACCACCCTTATAAAAAGGTATCTTCCTTATATCCAATCTAAATCAACCCCTCTCCAGTTTAAAACCATTATCCCTTGTCCTATTGCAACAAACCTTGCTAAAATCTTTTCTATCTTTTGTATAGGTCCCCTTCAAGTGCTGAAAGGCCTCAGTTAGGTCTCCCTGGAGCCTTCTCTTCTTCAGGTTGAATAACCCAGTTCTCTCAGCCATACCTCTAACAATCTGCATGTCCAGAATGGCCATCTCATCATCTCATGGTCAGAATTTTTCTCTCCCTCTCCACACTACTCTATTTCCCCCTCTTTTCTCCCCCTAACTAGTGCCCCCCCTTCCCCTTTACTCCAAACTTCAACACAATTGCTTTTTTCAAACATTAATAGCCTAGTAATGAAATTCTAAATCTTCTATGCATAAACCATTGAGAAGATATAACAAGCAAAAAACCAACTCAGGGCTAATCACAGACACCAAAGTCACCTGGAACTCTCCTCTGCTTCCCAGCTGTATTCCCTTGTGCTTGTTAGTGGTGCTCCCGTAAATTCTCAACAAATAGCTGGCACTCCTTTAAAATGATAAAACTGGCAGAAATTAATTAGAGAGAACATACATATTTCTGGTGCTAGTTGCTAGAGGACCATGACAGAGAGCAAGGGATTTTTGTAATTTGAAGACACGTTTATATTATACCCCTAATTTTGTTAACAGCAGTTGTCATATGTTTTGCAGCTGTAATATAAATATTTCCAAGTGCTTTACAAGAAAAATACATATTTATTTCCAGAAAGATGCTGACATGTTTAAGAATACTGGAAATGGTTTTGCAAAGTGACCTTCATAAAAATACTACCCCCAGGGAACTAGAGTTGCCTGTGTGGCATGTGATTAAACAACCACAGGTTCTAGCAGCTGGCTGCACAGGTGGTTGGTAGGCAAAAGGGATAATTGAAAACTCCTGAGTAGGGCCTCTCTTTGCAGAACTTGGGTCTGGATGCCACATGCAGGGTTTTGCTTCTGAGTTGCATCAGGGACAACAGGTACAGTGCTATTTGTATAGTCTGCCTCCTTGCTTGGTGTTTCTTCTTGCTTTAACAGGGTTTGTTTTTTGTTTTCCAAGAGGCTCTTATGGTTCTGAGTGCTTGTGCTGAGGGAACTAGGTTGGATTTGGTACACAGGTGAGGTTTCAGAGTGTGGTGGTAGGAACTATGATGAGAAAAAGAGGGTTGGGAGTGCCTATGGAGGACTCAGAAATGGGTTTTTGGTTTAAGTGTAAAAAACACTTGCCTGTTTGGTTTTAGATGTAGTTATGAGAGACATACAGAGAACTCTTTTTTGCCTAAAATAATAATTGAAGATTGAGGTAAAACTAGCTTAACTTCATGATCCTTGTAGATCCCTTCCAGCTCAGAATATTCTGTGATTGGCAAGTAATAGTGCTGAGGTTGTCTGTGGCTGCTGAAG